TGGCGGTCTGCATCACAATTTCTTAGAGCCTTCCACTCCTACTTATCAATTGAAAAAAAAAACCCAGATGTGTTGTTCCACAGCTCTAAGTCACAGGACTTAGAGTACGTATTGAAAAATATTTATTTATTTATTTAACTTTAATTTGGAGGAAAGTCATAGATGGGGTAGAGAAGAAATAATAAATCTGCATTCTGGAAAAAAAATAGCAGTTCTCATGGTTTCCATCAATAAAATCAGGAAGGAAGGCCTTAAGACATGAACATATAAACAAACAAGCTGAAAAACTTAAAGAAAAGACAGTGGGAGCTCTGAAAATAGTTGCTAGCTTTCCAAGAAAGCCTCCTTTGTTTGTTTGGATTGTTTTTGTACAGTAAGGCGGTAGGGAGAGAGAAAGCATTTTAAGCAAGGGCCCCCTAACTGCATGGGTTGAGGTGGGAGAATATGCTTTCATGTCGGTTACATGCAGAGAAATAATTATTTAAAAATTTTAATGAGGAAGCTGTTCAAAAATAAACAGGGGGTAGAAAAACAAAGAGTAGTAGTAACTGAAATGGAAACCCTCTGAAATGTGAAGCTCTAGGGAAAGAGTAAACAAGAAGAAAAAGTCACTGCTAGATATTTGCTTACCATAGGAAAAGCTCAGCAGGAGGAGGTTGCCCAGATCTCTTCTTATTCATACCTTCCATACTCATTCAGAGCTCAACTACATCCACAGATCTAAAAGCCCTTCTCTTCTGGTTCCTGAACACTGTGCTTTATAATCTGTGATTTTTCTCCCTCCATTCTGTTGCAATAGCCAAAAACTCACATGGAACCTCCTGGCTTGCAAGCAGGTGTGTCTTTCTAAGTTAAACACTTGAAGAGTGAAAATATATTACACATTCTTTTCTTTTTGCCCATATTTCATTATTTGTTTCATTTATCAAATTTACTGAATCACTGCATCTTGCATCCTGTTCTCCTTTAAGATTAATGACCATTAAGCTTTCATATCAACCTCAATTGCCATCTCTCAGTGTGGATTTTAGACTCTTTGCTTTACAGATTTACTGTGCACTAACTTGCTATCATTAGCTCTGTGCAAGGATGCCTTTTTACTTTTGATGCTCTCAGATGTAGGATTTGAATTTTGGGCAGTCTGCTGTAGAGCCAGGAGTTGGACTCGATGATCTTTGAGATCCCATTCAACTCAGGGGACTCTATGATTTATGGCAGTTTTTGAAAGTATGCAAAAACATAATCCAACAGACATGCAGCAAAGACATTTTTGTTGGAGAAACAGCCAGCCACAAAACCGATTTTTCACATCTTATGTAGCTTACGAAAATCTCTGCATTTTATTTGGTAGCTGAGCAAAACGGACCAAGCTCCCCTGCAATATTTCATTAACTTTGAAGGAGTGACGCCACTCTGTTCGTGCACTATTTGATATTTAGCCATAGATTCCACTGTCAAATGCTAGCATTCTTTCTATAATAACAACTATTTATGTTAAGAATTCACATCACCATTTCATTTATGGAAGCTGCATCCCCTGCAGGCATTCAAGGCCAGGCTGGATGTGGCTCTGGGCAGCCTGGTCTGGTGTTTGGCAGCCCTGCCTATGGCAGGGGGGTTGAAACTAGATGATCATTGTGGTCCTTTTCAACCCAGGCCATTCTATGATTATATGATTAATAATTAATTGTGCTTTAATTGGCTGTCATAAATTCGTTTGTCCTTTTATCTGCTATAATGATTCTGTGGAGTTGTTATGACTCTGCAAATACGAGAAGTGAGTGTGACTTCAGTGCAAAGATGTTACAGCAGTGTTGCTGTTACAGCTAAGGTGACTGCAGAAGTAGTGTTGTAGTGGGAGGATGAAGAACAAAACCATCACACACAGCCTTCCAGCATTTCACAGCATGATTATCTCACACCAGAGAACAGAGAGGTGTAGACCAGTCAACCTGAATGGTGACTGCAGTCTACACAAACATCTGTTCCTGTAAATGAAAATAAAGTGAAAGTGAAGAAAAAAGAAAAAAAGAAAAGAGCAAAGGAGCAAAAAGGTGCTGCCTGTAAAACAAACAAGGTAAGCTAACTGGCAGGTCAGGCAATCTGCCACGCTTAACTGAACTCTCAGGACGAGCTGTAAGTTCAAGATGGCTTATTACAATGCAGTCCTGATGCACCACACAAATGTGTCAGGTCATGCTTTATAAAAGGTGCATAATATTTTTTGGGTGTGGAGCCACAGCAGGCTGAAATTAAAGCAAAAAGCTCTTCAGATGGCAATCTTGGAAGATATGCTTTGTGCTTGGAGTCCAGTCCCCTGGCATGGGTACCTGGCACAAGATGCATAAGCCCTGCAAAATTTCACATCCCTTCTGTCACTCTCCCACCTCACAAGACAAACTCCTCTGCCAAATGCCCTACAAAAAAACACAGATTCGTGCTCAAAATGCTAAAAGCCATAAAACTACATGGAGGCACATAAAAAATAGATATTTTTAGCTCTAATACATAGCTTGATGTATATATATTCTGTAAAATATACTCCTTACTACTGTTCTACTGAATTTTCCATTGGAAAATGCATGCAATGAACACAGCAGCATGTCCCAGGCTGTATGAACACCAGCCACTGACTTCCGTACAAGCAAGTTGGCGGCAGATTTGATCCAGGTCAGCAGTTAGAACTAGAACATCCAACAGAATTACACAATTTGGCACGCTCCTTCCTTTTCCAGTCTCCTGCATATTCAATGTACCTTACTCCTAGCAACACGAAAGTACAGGCTTTAGGGGGAGATTTATCTTTAATTCTGGATTTTCTAAATCCTACTCTGAAATAGCCTCACCTCTTCTCACCATATCTCACACGTTTCTATGAAAGAAGTCAGAAGCTCCTTTTGAATGGTGAAAGCTTTTCTTGCATGGACTCAACCAACATGAGGGGTAAATGTTACTTTGCTCTGTTTGCAAGGAGGCAAGTTCCCATGGCATTTTCCTATGCTTTCACTGTTGTTTCTCCTGAACTTGGATAACCTTGGGTTGAGTCACTTGTCCCTCTCCCTCTTGACCATTTCTAACTTGCTTCCTGCATTTATTATTACTATTATAATAATTTGAAATTGCATTTTAAAAAGGCTGAAAGCACTGAGATTTTATGACATCCCCAAGTACTTCTGCTACTGTTTCTTGAGAAATGAAAAGGAAGGGAAAATAAATTCTACTCTAATGTCTTCAAAAGACACCCTAGGGGTCCTAAGGGAATAAATAGATCTAAATGCCAGAGGAAGTCAAAGAAAGAATGAAACTCCATTCTGCTACAGGATTTATCTTTCTCGCAACAAACAGCAGTGAAAAAGTTCCCAATTGTTTGTGCATCTGTGTGTATTGCTGCCGTTATATTCCATTTCACTGGCTTTGTTGTTTCTAATTTCCTCTTGAAATGAGAGGGTCAGTCTGACACTGGGAAAGATTTGCAGAGTTTTTTGGCTTCAAAGACATCCTGTGAGTTACACAGTTTCTGCCTGCAGCCCCCCAGCCACCCGCAGGGCACCCTGCCATGCACCCAAATAAACTGTGCTCCCCATCTTCACACCAGAAAGCATGGAGAGCTTTTTCTCTTGGCAGCACAAGAGCAGAGCACTTCTGCCTGAACACTGCTGAATCATAGAATAAGAGGTGGAAAGAAAAAAAACACATAGAAGTACAAATAAACCAGCAGCAAGAAGTCTTTGTCCCCTCAAAACAAGTGAGATACTGAGGCCTCAAAGAGTATCCAGAGAAGGGTAACAAAGCTGTGAACGGTCTGGAGCAGAAGTCTTATGAGGAGCTGCTGAGGGGACTGGGATGGTTCAGTCTGGAGAAGAAGGTGATCAGGAGAGACATTATAGCTTCCTGCAACTCCTTGAAAGGAGTGAGGTGTGGGTCAGACTCTTCTCCGAAGTAACAGCAATAAGACATGAGATAACAGCCTAAAGTTACACCAGGGGAGGCTGAGATTTGATGGCTGGAAAAATTTATTCTCTGAAAGAGTGGTGGAATCACTGTCCCCAGAGATGCTCAAGAACTGTGGAGATGTGGCACTGAGGGATGTGGGCATGGTAGGGATGGGTTGACAGATGGACTTGAAGATCTTAGAAGCTTTTTCCAACCTTAATGAGTCTATGATTTCATGAATCTCACCTCATAAAACCTTGACTCTGCACTCCAAAGATGGAGAGGATCCTTAGACCAAAAGGATGCAAAGAAAATTAACTACTGTTTAAAAAATGCTCACAAGCACACAAAATGTTTGGATTAATGGAAAAAGAATAAGCAAGACAGATTTTGGAGTAACACTGCATTCATCAGGTGAAACTTAGCATCTATTGGGGTAGTTCTGATTCAGTCCTTTTCCTTCTATTCAATACTGCTTTACATCTGTGGGAATTTTCAAATGTCCACACTAATTATAACTGCCTCTATTTTTGGACACCAACTGCCTTTACAGGGCTGTGAATTTCTGCAGGCTTCACTGATTTCAACCAAATTTGTTGGCACTGAGTTACCTTGGGTAACTGGCAGCCTTGTATGTGGCTCATGGCATACAGAACGAAGAGATTTTTTTTCTAGATTATTTCAGATTTAATGATTCAGTCAAGGAAAGATGAGTGATGTTATAAAGCAGGAAAAAGAATCCAGGGTGCAAACTCCCTGCTTTAATCTCAGAGAAGTGTTTTTATGAAGTATTTCTAGCAACTTAGCCCATTTTCCATTTTATTTAGAAGAGAGGCAGCATATTTTCATCGCAAGAAGTAAAACTTTTCAAATGAAACAGCAGCCACGAATGCACATTCTTCCCTTCCCTAAATTCCCTTCATTTAAAGGGAGCCTTACATAACCTCACTTTCCTATACTACTGATATCAGACTTCATTCTTCAGTAATTACTGGATGTGTACACAGTCATTAAGCATTATTTTTTTTCATCTCTCTGAAGGATTGAAATCCCCGTGTCTAGCACAAGCAGTATCTTCTCCTTTGACTCACTTAAACTCAAAGCATTTTGCACTCAGAGCAAGTGCAGTAATTTAAACAAAGTGCTTTTTCCCAGCAAAAAATCTCAGAGTTGCTAGTAATGACAGGCTCAGAAATGTGTACTGTCTCAAGCACTTGCAATGGCAGTAGCTCACATTAGCATCCTGTGGTCAGTCACATCTGCCTGCATTTGCTCTCCAATTTATCCTTACATCACCTCCCCATGGGAGCCTACAGGCGACATCAGCTGCAAGTCACCCACCAGCAGCTGAAAGCTGCTCATCTCCATCAAAGCCTCCATCCCACTTAACCTCTGTTCAGAGAGCTAGAGAACGGGAAGCAATGACTCACAGTGTGAAAAATTGGTTTTTGGATACTTGTGCAAATGAATTTGAGTTTAAATTGATTTATTTGTGGTTTCCCTTCTTTACATTGTGTCAAGCTTTCTTCAGGTGAAATGCATCATTTCTGTCAGTTTTCTTCAGGCCAGATTTAGCTACTCTCACTCCCATTACAATATATGCTTTGTGACTGATTTTAGAGGATCAGCTTCCAGAATAAACACTTTTTGGTTCAAGGAAATGGGCAGAAAGACACCTGCACATGCTCACTCACTGAAGCCCTTCATCAATTCATCAGCAGACGGAAAGCCTCAGGGACTTTACCATAAGCCTCAGTGATGTCTCTGCCAGCTGCAGATTTTCCAACCTTAAACAGATTTGTAGCAATCAGCAGTTCCCAGTTTCCAGTGGGAAACAGCTAGATGTTCCTGGATCGTTGCTGATTTTTTTTTCCCCATCTGAAATCTCTTCTCCCCACTCAAAAAATGGCAGGGCAAAATCCAATGCAATTGAAAAACTGCCTTTCAGGCTCCCTAGAGTATGTCCAGTGTCCATCAGCCCCTTATCACGGCTGACCAGCATGGCGCACTTGCTCTGAAAAGCAAGATCAAAAGTAAAACAAACATTTAAAAAGAGATTATAGGTTATCTTGGACAGATGGACCATTCCTCTCCCCAAAAAATAATATCCCATAATGTCCATACAAGAGAAGCTTACGTATTCTAGAAGCTTTTAGACTTGGTTTGTATTTTATTCCACTTTTTTTCCCCTTTGTGGATATAATGCCTTCATCAAAAATTGTTGGTTTTAACAAGTCTCTTATAAAAACAAAACAAAAGGCATGCCTATGGAAATTAGGGGCTTTTGTAGAATATCTCCCAAATGATTATGGAAGAGCATGCTTAGTTTTTATGTTATCCTTCTTCTGTGCAAAGTGTTAATGGGAGTATTATAATTATTCTGCCCATTATCCCTGCTGAAGTTGTTGAAACTGATCTGGTTTCTATCATTCTATTGGCTCTCAGTGTCCATTTGTTTCACACGTCTTATGCTGAAAGCAATGAATATCATATTAAACTCAGTGCTGTGATAGGTTCTCTGAGTCAGTGGTGAGACATTCTATCAGATTGTAGTATAATGCTATACTGCTTTTGCCTAATTGTGTTTTACCTTCAGAAGGGTAAATGCTCTGATTTTCTTCATTTATTTATATACAGCAGGCTCAAGAAATGTCAACACTGCTCTGAAAATAGATATAAAAATAATGCCTCATATCAGAACAAGGCAAATCAGATTTCTCCCCAGAAAAGCATATACAAGAAATAAAGAGTAAATGAAGGCAATGACTATACACATATATTCCAAAAGCAGCTTCACTGCCACGCTTTGATATGAACATAACGACTTGTAACATTGCAGGACAAATACAGAGGAGAAAAATATTTCAAATATTCATGCAAATGAAAGACTGACCAGCTCGTTGCTGAGGTTTTGTTCAAGAACATTCAGGTGAACGCACTGACATTTCCACAACGAGGGCGGAAAACAAAAGGTTCCCAATTACTGTAAGCACGCCAGGATAGTCTCAATGGGACTGCTCTCACAAACATTTTGGAAAGCTCTCTTTTCAGCAAAATCACTATGCTAGTGGATTGCATCCTGTTGTGGCCGTGTCTCATTCATGCACGTGATTAGATTTAGAGGATCAGTGAAAACTATTTTGGGACATGCAGATACTAGGCCTTTTTTGTACCATGAGATGGTAAAAAGGGAGAACAGAAAGATATGCTATGGTAAACTGAGAATTATTACACAAAGAAGCACAGAATGGCTTAGAGTAGAAGGGATCTTATTAGTGTAGACACATGCCATACATGGATGGTGATAATCCTAAAGAGGTGGGTCACAGATAACCTACTATGTTTTCCTCAAGGAACATAAGTCTAGACATATAAAAATCTTCCTTAAAAAAAGTTAATTAAGTGTCAGACCAGGGAAGATGATGAATTTTTCATCTCTATACATTTTAGAGAAACGATCAGATCTGTCTTTGGCAGTGATAGCTTGAATTTGCTTTGTCTGTCTCTAGAGCATTGAGTTTAGCTCTGTAAGTGGAGATTATATAGCAAAATCCATATAACATTTTCCAGTTTTATAGGAGATGATGTAGAACTACAGAATCACAGAATCATTTGAGTTGGAAGGGACCCTTAAAGGCCATCTAGGCCAACTACCCAGCAATGAACAAGGACACCCACAGTTCCATCAGGTGCTCAGAGCCCCATCCTGCCTGACCTTGAGGATCTGCAGGGATGTGGTATGTGGACACCTCTCTAGACCTGTTCCAATGCAGTGTTAAGTGAACCCAGAAGGGAGTGAGAGCTTAGCTTGCAAACTGAAGGAGGACTGACACTGTAACATGTCTCTTTTGAATATGCAGTACTGCTGTTGACTCTGAGTGCCTCATAGGGTAAATATTGCATGGAAGTCTTTTCTAATCTATTTTATACAGAGCAAGAACTGAGGCACTTACAAATTGTTGACTGTCAGCATAATTTTGTCCAGAAGGAAATTAGACAAAGATATGAATGTTGTTTGAAAAAAAAAAAAGTGATATTTATCTTAATCACTTGATCAGGAAGGAAGATAAATATATCCCTTTGTGTTAGTGGGTTTAAGAATTTAAGGAAGTAGCCTCCTCTGATTATAACAGATTTGTTTGCTGTTTAACAAGATAGCTATTATTTACAGATTAGTGAATAAAAGTTATTATCTCTATCTATCAAATCATAGCCAGATAGGATAACACATAAGGCTCTCAATATCTGTCATTTCTCTAAGTACCTACAATAGTATTCATAATGATTTTTAAAAACGATTAAAAATCAAGACATCTAAAGCTATAAACTGACTAGCACTATTATCCCCTTCACCTTTCCTCCCTCTTCCTCTCATACAGCAAAAGGCAATGGCCAATGAATCCTACTAAGCCAGTGCTACAAGATGCTACATGTGTAAATAATGGCATGTCTGTTTTGTCACATTAATAAGCCAAGGGTCAGAGAAACATCTTCAGGATGCTAGAGATCTATAGGAAAAAGAAGCACAGTAGAAGTATAGCCTGTTATTTGGCTCATTTATTACTAATATGACAGCAGTTTTCCAGCCATCTTTCATGAAGGCAATCTATAACTTTGAAAGTGTCTTTACCAAGCAAAACCCTTCCTTCCTATTTAATTATGCTCTTCAATAATTTATGTCCTCTCTAATGTCTCATTGTATGCAGTCATGAGGTAACCATTGCTGTCAATAGCTGCTGCTGGCTGTGGGCATGGGATGCTCTCATGGTGACAGCTCAATTTTTGTGCTGACCTTTAGCTGAAAGACATTGCACAAGATGGATTTAAATTGATAGTAGAATTCAGAGAGAAGCAAGTAACATTTCACAGGAAAAAAAAATCAGCAAAAACTTTTTTCCATTTTTAAATATCAACATATTTAGTAATCAACGTATTTTCAACATCCTTATCAACAACTTAGTGGATTGAGGACACCCTCAGTGACCTTGCTAATGACACTAAGCTGAATGGTATAGTTGACATAATAGAAGATGTCTGATTTAGTGGTTGGTAATCCTGCCCCCAGCATAGGAGAGTTGGAACAAAGTGATCTTTGAGGTCCCTTCCATCCCAAACCATTTCATGATTCCATCACATGATTCTGTAAATAGGAAGGAAAAAGAATTCAGACCTTCCTGTGAAGCAAAGAAAAATGTAATGAACTGAGTACACTGAGCAAAACTCCTCCACAATCTGACCATTCTGAAGAGATGGATTAGATTCCTTGAGGTAGAAATTATTTCTTATTAAGCCTCTGTGAAACTACTGCACTGACTTCGATGCATGTGACTTTATTTGAATTAGTTTCTTGAATGGCTCCAGAAAATGTAAGTTTTTGAGATACACAATTTGGATCTGTTTTCAGTTATGTAGATCACAAAATCATAAAAACACTAATTCAAGGTAACAAACACTAGGAAGTAGCATTTCACCTCCAGTTAGGGGCCATTTTCTCAACAAGGCACCATCTTTACAAACACCATGGTTGGAGGAGACCTCAGGAGATCTCCTGCTCTAAGCAAGGGAAGCTCTGAGATCAGCCTAGATTGCTCAGCGTTTTGCTAATTCATCTCTTGAAAGCCTTCAACAATGTGTAGCTATATTCAAGGCTTTCTCTCCTGCATATACAAAGTGTTCAGACTTAAGTTGGTTTAGGTTTATGTTTTACCTTGCCTTTGTAATGAAATAACAGCATGCAGAAGACAAGTAATTGCAGTTTAGCTGATAAACAGAACTGCATTACTCACAATAACTTGACTACTTGTAATATTTCTGAACAATGTTAAACAGAGGAGATTGTTGACCCAGCTCAGAGCTTCTACAATAACATTAATTTTAATATTAACACCAGATATATTTAAATATAAAAAAATCATATTGGTGACAGTCACTGTCTGCAGAGAGGTGGGCTGTTTCAACTACTCAACTATTGAATGCATAAAAATACAACTCTATTTAATGCATATGGGAGTAGCTAGCTACAGAGATGAAGGAGTACATGTCAGATGGAAGAGATGACTATCAGTGTATTTCTAGACTGTGTACATTTTTAAGGTGAAGAAGCATAGTATTACTGATGGCTGTTTGGTATATTTCTAAGAAATTGTCTTTTATGTGATAAAAAGAAGTTTCATCAGAACATTTTTTCTTGCAACAAACAAGATATCAATTTTCTTAGAAAAAGCATCAGGATGCAGGTAGAATTTCTTGCCAAACCAAAAAAGCATGGGAATAAGGGACAAAAGCACCATCAGCTATTCCAAAGTGCCATTAGTTCAGTGGAAATGAAACTCTACACATTACATCTTGTATTCCTAAGACAAGCAGGTACATCTTTGTGGTCCAGTTGCTGTACAGCACCAACACACCACAGCTTTGTCTCCTCTCATCAAGGTTTTCATTGCTTCTTTCTAATTTTTCACAGTTAATATTGCTTTATCTCTACACAGAGAAGAGCCATTCTTCTTGCACACAATTTTGCAAAGAGAGAGAAACTGTTTCATGCCTTGCTTGGATTTTAACGGGTTGGTACCTTGGTTTTGATCCCATTGTTGTTCTCTGCCCATAAATCTTGTTTAGTCAATAGGATTTCTGCTGCCTGAAGGAATGCATGATCAACTGCACAGAGGAGCATAAAATAGATTTTTGTGCTTCAGATCCTTAAAATGTTTTTGTCAAGAAATAATTCCCAAAGCTGTATTTGGCTTGTATTTCTTTTCCTACATTGAATTTCTTTCATATGCTTTTTTGCATGCTGAAGGATATGAGCTTTGCACTCATTTGCAAAATCTCAGACTAATTTTTACCACACTTCTTATTATCTCATCTTATTTTGGCATGATGCTTTCTCCCACAATAATATTTTATACAGTGATGCCAATTCAGTTATCATTCATTCAGGTAGCTTATTTTAAAGCAATACAGCACAGAAATATAATACAGAATATTGATATAATCCAATTGTTGAGAAAAAACCTGAGAGTAATGCTGCATAGTAATAATATATAGTAAACTGTAGTGAAAATTCTTGCTTGTATGCTCTTCCACTGATGTACTTCTATATATGCTAGCTATGATACATCTCTGCACATGATAAATCCACAGAAGATGGCATGAGAAGTCTTTGGAATATGCTAGACAAATTGGATAATCCATTGTGGGAACACAAAAAAAATCCTCAATGAATTTGAAACATTAACTAATCTATCTTTAACCTACACATATCCTTATCTGCTTCTTGGCTGGCATCTCTTTGATGGGTCATGTTCCTTCTCTGGGTTGCCTGCTTCTAAGGTGCAAAGTAAATGACAGTTTAGGGTTTTTTTTTGTTTGTTTTGTTTTTTTTTGAAAGCAATAAAGATCTTGAAGTACTTTATTTTGTAAGAATATATTGTATATATTAATTGCATAAAAATTCTGATTTCTGTCAGTTTGTCTTTTAGGCAATGGCCAAGTCCATAGTGCATACTCTACAAGAGCAAAACTTAACTTTCAAATCATATGTTTGTATTACTTCAACATTATCTAGAAAGTTTCCTAACCACTGATTTCATAATTGTGCTTTTTTTCCCCAATTACTTACTAGAAATAGAAAGTTACTTATAAAGTAGAGTGACAACAATTGGGCACAGTGTTCAAGGTGAATATAGACCATGCACAGCCATGGCATTATAATGCTTCTAGCCTTATATCATAACCCTCTCTTAATACATTTTGACATTTTTTCATCTTGATCACTGCTGTGCACTGAGCAGATGTTTTCATGGAGTTGTCCTCAATAATAGCAAGTTCTTTTTCTTGAGTGATTACAGCTAATTTATAACTCAGCTATGTGTATGAGCAAGTGAATCATCCTTTCTCATGTGTATCACCTTGAAGTTATCTGCAGTGAATTTCATCTGTCATAAATGTTGTGCAGATAGTTGAGTCCAGGCATCTCCAAAGCCTTATTTAATCTTGCCTGATCTAAATTCTGTCTGATAAAACAATTTTCCTGGCAAAAAAAATTTCTTCTTCAGGCCTTATTCCAGATTATTAACAGAATTTATGGGTATTTGTTTCAGCTACTGCTGGGACTATGCAAGATATTTTTCAAGTTAGAAAGAAAGCAAGAGCTATCCTCCAAGGAGCTCTGCTATTAAATGTAGGTTTACAGCTGGAATATTTGGGATGATCACTATCTGCTTAACCAAGAAAAAATATACTATAATTTATTCTAAATTTTGGAAAATAAACTGTTCTCATTTACTTTTCAGGCAGCTCAGCATACAGAGCTTGCATCCCTACAAGCAACATAATTTCATGCTTGTTGTAGATACCTGTAACAATTGTCCTTCTGTAATGAAGTGTCAGTATCATGTCTGACCCCCCCCCCTTTTTTTTTTTAGCCTTTCTACCAGTTTTTACCCCCAGGCAGAACCTTGCTCCATGACAGATCAGCTTCCTACAGAACTTCTTCTAAGGAATGCAGTTAAAGCTTTTTAATAAATAATGTTAACTGGATCTCCTTTAGCCAGTATTTTAACAAGATCCTCAGGCCAGCATTCAGCAGTCAATCCACATTTAGCAGAGTATTTCACCACAAACCAGAAATTAAACACATGCCACAGTGCTTTGCTTAAAAGAGATGAACTTAAGCACGTTTTCAGCTTTGCTGCATGCCAGGCTTATAGAGTAGATAAAGTAGAAACTGAAGCTTTCAAAGTAGTCTTTATATTGTATATTGTTGCCTTAACCTCCCAGCATTCTTTTCTATTTATCACAACCATCTGCTATGTATAATACATCACTTGTAATCCTCCTGGGACATTGACTGCTTTTCTCAAGGCAGTGTCAGATAGGCAAGTAGCAAACACCCATCCCCACTTGGGTATTCTAGGTGATATGCTGGAGATCTCTATGTTACTGCTGCAATTATCTTAAGAGATCATAGCCTTTCCAGAACTCAACTCTGCTCTTTACTACTCTTTTTAACTATATTATCTTCATGGAATTGACCTAGTCACATCCTTGGCTATTCAGCTTGAGCTGAGAAGCATTCATTTTTCAATAGCTTAGTCCCATTGAGATAAAGTCTCAATATCTCTGTTGTGCTTGTGTAAAATTCCTGATAGCCCACCGCTCACCTAAACATCATTCAGCTGTAGTTCTCTCTTCTTTCCCCATTTCACGCCATACTGATATCCTGCAAATTATTTCAATGTCTGGCAACGCAGAAGATTGATGTAGATCAGGACTTTCAATTTCCCCCATCGTCAACTTGGCAATGATAACCAAACAGAATAACCTTTTAAAGCACTGAATGAAGAATAAATCTATAAAAATTTAATTAACCTCTGCAGAGTGTATTGAATCCTAACTGAGTTTAATCACAGTTTTTCTAAGTTAGAAATTTGGCGTATTTTTCACTCTTGCACTATAGTTTGTAGTGACCATATAAACAACCCAGTTGTCAAAAGTTAATAGAATCTGCTGGCTTAAGAATTTCCACCCATGGGTACAAACAAAAAACTTTCCCGGTACAATTATTGCTTATACATATTTTTCTAAAATACAGACAACTAAGAAAGAAGAAAAACAAAAAAAGGTGGCATGAATCAATGCATGGAAACAAAAGAGCAACATATATTTTCTTCTGACTGAGCTCAAAATGGCTTGTGCTCTTTTGCTCCCACAGATGTCACTGTGAGTTATATCAGTTCATGCTGAAAGTGAGTTGGTCTGGATTGATCCATCTCCTCACTGTATCTCAAGAGGAAAAAGTTAAATACTTTTAGTCCAGATTTAAACTTCTACAAAAGCTACCCTTGTTATTTACACTTTTTATGGCTGTCACATCTCCATCTCAACATCACTGATCAGGAGTCCATTGAGGAAGGTAATTTATGGAAATGGTGGGTGGATGGAAACTGATGTTTTGGCATTGAGAGATTAGCTCTGAAAATAAAAGGAGACAACTGAGTCAGAGGGAAGTACAAGAAAGGAATGAAAATGGATCTGAATAAAAGGCAGAGGAGCAATTGTGTCCACAGAGATATAAATAAATAGCAGGGGAGGTCTGGAGGAAAGACAAAGAAACCTGCCTTAATTATTTTGAGTTTGGCTTGACAGGAGAAGAACTGAGAGGCCAAGATGTTAACATGAACAGAAAGAGTCAATCTTAAAAGATTGAATTATGATTCATCTGCATAGTAATGAATGTCTAAAGTTGTGTGAATATGTTTCTAACTTGCAAGAAAGTTAGAAGCAGTAACAGAAAACTAAATACAAAGTGTTTGTAATGGAGTCTCTTGTTTATTTTTATTATTATCATTTTTATCACATAGGTCTCACTCCTATAACTCACCTGTCTTCTTTGGAATTCACTGTTCATGGAAAGGCACTAATCTGTAGCCCTACTCAAGAGAAGTTTATCTCTGTGTTACATGATAATTTTGACTGTACAGGGCGTAGAGGAAGTTAGCAATGACTTCTGAGCAATATCTTGTTTGGGACAACTGGATGAAACAGCCCAAGAAAATGTCAGTGTTGTCCTTTTGGCACATCTCTGCTGCCTTTGGATGCCTGTGGTGGAGTCACTGTCCCTGGAGATGTTCAAGAACCATAGAGATGTGGCACTGGGGGACACGGTCAGTGGGCATGGTGGGGATGGGTACCTCAGAAATCTTCCTAAGTTTAATGGTTCTATGATTCTTCCCGAGGATTGATGTTTAATTTTATCAGAATAGAATGAACTTGTAGGATTTACTTCCCCTTGCTTGCAGCTAAATCCTTGTCCAAGTTTATTTCTTCTCTTCTAGAAGCACACAAGGTAAAGTGTAGCTTGCCGCAAAATGCTGACATAAGATCTGATACAACAAGATCTCATGCTTTGTAGCAGTCTCATGAAGCCACAGGATCAATTCAAAGGGCAAGTAATCCTAATGCAAATATTACAACTTCCACCAACTGCCTGTAGTACATCAATCTCTGATTCTCCCTTCCTCCTGCACCAATCAAAGAACCACTGGGTTAAAAGGGAGCTCAGATGAGTATCTATCCATTTTCCTGTCATTGTACCAGCCAAATTCCTGACTTTATACAAAAAGGAGGATTTGACAAACAAAATTTTAAGCAAAAGAGCAATGTAAGAACAACAGAAGGTTTGGTTCAATCAGTGTTATTCAGGCTCATCATTTTAAGGCAAAAATAAGGCATTTTTCCATTGGAAAAGGGGAGCATAATTTTTCTCTCTCCCCCCAGGACTCAGAGAACACAATATTTGGAGGTGGTTTGAGAGGACAATCTCTCCAGTGAAAGGGTGGCCCAGAGTTTCTGCATCTGTAACCCACCTTTCTCAGCTTTTTTTTTTTCCCCTCCCTTCTCTTTCTAGCTGTCCCTGTTAAGATATTTTTATCTCTCTATCAATTTTCTTCCTTTTTTTTTTTTTTAATAGTCTAAGGAGTAAAGCAAGGAAATACAAAAGCTCTCCTACTTGGCCCCTTCCCCCCCCATTTCCACTATTGGACTAATTTTTTTTTAATGAATGCAGCTTTTTGACTGAGATAAGTCAATCAAGTATTTTCTTCTTCTTTAAAGAAAACAATATTTTACATTCACAAGTTCCCCTGTTATCTCCAACACTTAAAACATAGGCTCAGAATAACTAAAAGAACACATGAATCTCTAAGGTAAATACCATGACCAAAAGGTTTATTTTTTTTCCACACTGTGATTCTTTTCAATATAGGTGAGCAGTAAGTTAATTGAAGATAGTACAATATCCTTATAAATCTAACCATCTTTCTGCCAAAATAGCAGATACTTGTCTATTGCTTTTTATTTTCTCCTCTATATTCTCATATTTTCCTGAAGATATAGAGACTTAATAAAAGAAACACAGCCTCCTCCTACTCAAATTAGTGCAATTATAAAAGATAAAATCAAAACAAACCCTCCAGAACTTGCTTTACCAGAAAGGCTGAAGAAATGTACGCAAGAAACATTTGATGCTGTTTTAAATGTAGAGAAAGGCAATGGCAGAGAACCAGTCCTAAATGATCCAAAAAAGGGACAAGAGTCACAAGTCAGCTAAAGAAATAAAGATTTGCTTACCTATCATAAGAATCAGAGACCACAAAATACTCCAGTAGGGATCTCCAGATAGAAAACCATCCCTTGAGGCAGCCAGCCCTTAAATGAGGCTTAGAGAGGGATGGAACCAGGTTCCACCCCCTTCTGGTCATATGGATGAATTGTTTACACCTGTGCTCCCAGGGCTGGTTGTATCCCTTCACCAGGTGCTCAGTCATTGGTTCAAGCTGTGACTTAGCAATTTCCATACAACTAAAGGGCCTGTTTTAGTGGGCAATATTGGTGGTAGGTGGATGGTTGGACTGGATGAGTTTGGAGGTCATTTCCAACTGTGATGCTAAGAACAAATGTGACAAATGTTATGCTGATCAGCATGGTACTGAAAAGTGTTCACATATTAGGAAATCATTTCAATGATGACATCAATAAAATAAAAGTGCTCTTGGTCAAGTCCTAATAGTTCAAGATTACTTGGGAAAAAACATTAACTTTTTTTTTCCCATTCTAACTTCAATATATTTATCTCTAGATTTTCTGTTTTCATCCTTTTCATCCTCCACTCAAAAAAGGAAACTTTTCAATGCTGAAATACCATTATTCAAATCATCAGCTGGCAAAAATCAGCCAGGCTTCATTATAGATCTATTTGCACCACCTGAGATTGTGACCAGAGGTATTTTCCTGCCTGTGGGGAGGAAATGAAGCGAGTTTGAAAGCTAGAGAGCCCTAAAATCATGCAAATAATACGTTCATAGAATAGATTGAGTTGGAATGGACCCCCAAGAATCACTGAGATCCTCAAAGACCACCCACATCTACACTCTATATCTGAACATTGTCCAAATGCTCTGTCTGAGCTCTGGCAGCTCAGGGCTGTGCCCACTGCCCTGGGCAGCCTGTTCCATGCCCACCATCCTCTGTGGCAGATCCATTTCCTAACACCCACCTGACCCTCCCCATGTCCAGGATAAAAGTTGTGCTATATGTTCCTATGGACAATACTTCTTGAGTTTTGAACAGCTTTATAACACGTGGAAGTGTGAAGCAGGACTGCTCACACTTGTGGAAATGTGCTTTGGTTACTGCTAGTTTATCTATAAATGAAAAAGTATTTAGTGGAAATATGAGCAGATGTTTGAAAAGCTTTTAATGCAAAATATTATAAAACAATGCTTTCCATAATTGGAGCACAGTTGTAGGTTAGGATGTAGGTGTAAATGCTGCACCTGTTATGGAGCTGAAAATCTTCATTTTTCAATGGCAAAATTTCTCTCATTGCTTATGGATTCAGTGAATCATAAAAAATCAGATTTTCAACTTGAATAGAAACACTATTGTTCATTCTGCATCCAACTGAGAGCACCCTAAGCTCAGGGAAGAAAAATACCATGTTGAGACAAAGAGGAGAAAAATCCCCAGAAGATTTACATGTTTATATTTCAAATAAAATATTGATTGCTTGAAGCTATTCAGGGATTTTTAAGTTGGAAGGAACTCAGAGAGGGGAATAGACTAAAGGATACAGTGCAGGTGGGGAACGCATAAAAATGCAATTTATCACCTGCTTATGAAGATTATTACATAAATTTCAACACCAGGTGGGTTTTTAAATGAGATGTGCATATACTCCTCCAAGTTTCTTGCAAAATATCATCAGCCTTCACAGTAGTTTAGCACTGGATGCAAGTGCATTAGAAAGATGCAGGCACTTATCAGTACATAAAATATATATACTCACATTCTGCAGTAATGGTCATTACCATGGGCTATAGGGCAAATAGGTTTCAATTGGTCTTCTGAAGTTCTATTTTAGATACTGCCAGAAAATTACAAATGTTCTATCTAGTTGCAGGGAGAACTTGGGAAAGGAAAACCTATTATCCAAATGTGCGTTTAGCTCAGGAAAGGCACTGAGTACCAACACTTGTGAGCAATGCCATGAGATTAGCTCACTGCAGGTTGTCAAGGTCTTGTCAATTTATAACGTTTAATTATATAGATCTTATGTTATAATTATACCTCATTAGTAGCTTTGGTTGTCCTGTTGTCAAGGCATTTTAGTGATTCCCATTTCTAGATAAAATGTACCCAAATACAAACAGCCTATTAAGATGATTATCTTTGCTAGTAGAAAACAATCTAGCTCAAATCATTTTTAAAAGGGCTGCTAATTATTCTTTTCTGCTTACTTTAACACGACTTCATTATATATATTTTTTTTTTTTCTGAGAGTAAAGATATTTTCAATCCTGCCTCTTATCCAAAAAAAGGGAGAAGCTGGAGGGTAAAGGAGTGGGAATCGATGTCACTGTTCTGTGCCCTTCGAGAGAATAAAGTTATAACAGTTATCTATCACTCTGCAACTCCAAGTAGGAGAAACAGTCATTACTAAGAACAAGAATTTCCACAGCTGGTGGTAGGTATGAAGTACAAAGGCTCCTCTGAAGGTAATGCCTTCTGCTTCATTCTGTTGGCCAGTGATGTGAGATGCAGATGTTGGTGAGATGGCAGTACAGGTTGAACCTTCCCACCAATATCCCATTACATTTTGTTGCTGTGTGACAGATGGCAGTAGAGGGGCAGTCTGACAGCATAGGATCTGACACAGAAGTGTGCATGAAGAAAAGGTGTGTCTTTGTATTCCTCCATGCAGGAAAAAAGGCCATTGACATCTACTGGCACTTAATGAATGTTTATAGAGATCAAATATTGAATGTCAGCACAGTGAGACAGTGGGTTGTGAAATACTGTGAAGCAGAGGGTCACCTCTGCAGGAGCAGATATTTGCAAGCATGGCATGCAGGCTCTGTCATGACTGGTGAAAATGTAAGCTAATGGTCATGACTATGTCAAAAAAGAGTGTTTTTTTAGCTGAGAATTAGCTCTATCAAATCAAACAGTGTTATTATGCTCTTTGTATCTGCTGAAGTTTCTATGGAAATAAATAGAAGGCATTACTTTCGGAGCAAGCTACATTGCTGTCAGCTGGCTTTCATTACTAAGAATGAGATTCGTTTCCTAAATAAAATTAATTCAATTGCCTGTATGTTGTAACTTTTCCTTTGTTCATTTTAAAATCAAAGTCAGATCTTGAGGATGAATTCATAGAACCGTAGAATATCTCAAATTGAAATGGCCCCATAAGGATCACTGACTCCAGCTCCTGGCTCCACACAGGACCACCCCAAATCCAAACCTTGTGTCTGAGAGTGTTTACAAATGTTTCTTGAATTCCAGCAGCTTGGGGCTTTGACCACTGCCCTAAGGAGCCTGTTCCATGCCCACCACCCTCTCAGTGAAGAAGATTTTCCTGGTAACATCCTCTAAATTCCCTGAATGTAGATATCAAAGGCATAGAAACCATAAATGTATCAGCACGATTTGGAGCTATATTAAAGCATACAGAGCCACAGAAACAATGAAGAATAGAATGGCTTGGGTTGGAAGGGATCTCAAAGATCATCCAGCTCCAATCCCCACGCTGTGGGCAGGGTTGCCAGCCACTAAATCAGACACTTCCCTGAACTCCATCCAGTATGACCATGAACAACTCAATGGATGGAACATCCACAACTTCTATGGGCATCTAGTGTTTCATCTCTGGATGCCCTTCAGCTCTAGAGCAACTCCTGATTAATGGGGGCCTAAGCATTAGGCGTCTCTTCCGAACCCAGGTTACCACAGGGTAGCACTTGTGCCCAAGGAGTTTGTGTGCTTCTCTGTCCTCCTTGTAACAGCAGGGATGCAAAACAAGAGTCTCAGTTACCAGCATTATGGGATGTGATTGAGTAGGGCAAGCTTCCAGGAAGGAGGAAAGCAGCAGAAAACAGTGGGATAAAGCAGAGGGCATCATGGGCCTGCTCTACCAACATGCAGCCACTACTTATGGTACAATCTCCTATTAAATAATGATGACTCACTCTCCAGACAGTAATTTATTTATATGCCTGCTTTAATGTTTTGCAAATCACTGCTTAAAAAATGCCCAGCTGGAAGACAGGAAGGCTTGGGAGACAGAGAATCAATTTGATAGAGAATCATATTAAATAAAAATGACATGAAATTTGACAGCAAGTGCTCACAGTTGAAAATAAAAATATAATCATCCCCAAAGCAGAAATGCAGCCTCATTGCTGGGATTGGTTGTTATAGCTTGAGAGACCAAGTTTTTACTGTAACTAGTAGAACAGCAACAAAAAAGACATGAAGAAGAAAAGAGGCATTATTTATACTCAGTTACAGCATTTCTTCCACTGAAACATCCTATGAGCTTACATTTTTTCAAGCCAGAAAAGAATACTGTCTTGAAAAGCTTGCAGTTTTTAAAGTCAGAAGGGAGTAACATAGTCTGACCTTTGAAAAATATGCTATACTTTGTAAGGGAAAACCAAGAGAACCAGTAAGAGAACGAGGAAACTTTTAAAGTGCTATCAATGTCACAGAATTATGTAAGCTCTTGGATTGGAAATTAGCACATAGACCACAGAGGGGGCTTCTGTGCATGCCAGAGTGGGTATGACATTCTGGATTTGGTACCTGGATTGGAAACAAGATAAGGACAAGTGGATGAGATAAGTGTAAGATACCTATTTGATTTCTAGGCCACATTTCTGCCACTGAGGATTTGCCTTGCCCTTGGGTGCACAGAGGGGGATGCCTGCCTCTGGAATATATTCAGCTTCACAGCTATTAACTGCTTTGTGAAAGGCCAAAGTTTCCAAGGGACTTCAGGTGGGGGATTCCAAGCCAATGGGGCTGAGGATCAGCATATTACAGGCATTTGTGAAAATTTCTTCTAATTGCAATGAATTTGAAAACATTTCAGCTGATGTCCTCAGTCACTGCCCCAGGGTGTTCCCTCATTCCCTTCATGCCCATGACTTGATGAAAGTTAACGACAGTAGTTGGGTAGTTTAAAACGTGTCAGCTGCTCTTGGCATTTTCTCTTTGATTCCTGTTAACTGCAATACTTATTGCTTCTATTGACACTATTTCCATCTCCATCCACCCGTCTTACTCTGATCCTGGAAGCACAACCTGCAATCTGTCTCTGTTTGAAACTGGTGCTTGAAACAGAGACAGGATTGTTTGCAGGAAAATAAGAAC